TAATTGCTATGCGCGAATTCCATTTTAATTTTGAAATAAAAAAATATAAGAAAATAAAAACTAGGTTTTCATTTCCAAAACTAGAAACATCCACACTTATTTACGTTCTTCATATTGATTAACGATTTGTAAAAGCACATTACGTCATTTTGGCGTTGAAGGAATAACAGTAGAGTCTATCAGAAACACCGCGAGTAGTAGTTTTATAGAAATTATTGGAAATTATAACCATTAAAACCATTTTAATCAAATTTTCTTTTAAATTCGAAAAATATAGGTGTTTGTTTAACTTTGATATTGATTTCTATTTTTTTTAGTTTTTTTAGTGGAACTTCGCTTAACGAGCACCTCGCATAACGAAAATTTCGCTTAACGATAAGAAGAGAAGTCCCGGATTGTGCGACCGCTAAATCATTTTTAAAACTTCTGTACACATATTATATGTATTTTTGATTCTATTAAAATTTTGGAACGGATTAAACTCGTTAAGCGAGGTACCTGTGTATTCAATTTACGAATTCTAATATAATCAAAGACAATTTGAAATTTTCTTTTGTTTTCTAAGAAAAGAAATACATTAATTATGCTTTATTCAATATTATTATAAATATATGAAAAGTCAGTTGGAAATAAATTCTCGTTTTACGAAAAATGAATGCAAACCATTTGTTTTGAAATAAATTCGATTTCAAACAGCAAAATTGTTCGCAAACTGAAGCCATTTTTATCGAATTTCATTTTAAATAAAAAATAAAACTGGGTGTTTGATGATAGTCGATGTTCATTTCGAAATGGAATGTACGTGCCGTTATGCAACAATGCATAAGTTCCATTTGTTAACGTCGATTTTGCAGGTATTTGCTTTCGAGATCGCGAATTGCGTGTGGCAAAAATTAACAAATTATGCAGTTATCCATCATAGGGCCTTAATGTCCTGATGGCATGATTGCAAACGCTATTATTTTCGAATTCCGCCCACGCTGTTCTTTCGTATCCGCGATTTTCACAATCTATGCGCGATATTTTTCAGCTGAAATCCCAGTATCTGTTTCGATTTGCGCCAGCTTTTTCGTGATAAGGAAGGGCACTGATGCTCCGATATAAATTGGAATGAGTGTGGGTCGAGTCGAGTCCGCACGAAAGTGGCAAATCGCATTGACATGCAAATCGCGTTAAATTCGTTTACCGCGATTCAAATCAGCTTAATTCGGTACTTACTCATTACATAGTAAAAAAAACTGTATATACTAGTATTAGGTAATATTACACAATACTTTGTTACTATTAATATGTAAACGTAACAGCAGATGAGATTTAGATTATGGCAATAAATAAGCTACAACAAATTATAGCTTGTGCACTAATAAAGAAAACTTGAATACCTCAATAAAACATAGGATGTATATTTATAGATTACCCTTCAACCTACTTAAAGCAAAAGCTCTTTATTAACTTCAAACAAGGGAAAAATAAAATCATGAAAAGATTTTATTGTTTTTTTTTGAGACAAGATTGGGTTTACAGACGCATTTTATATAAATAGTTTTGAATTTCCACTGAATAATAACTAACATAAAGAGAATAAAAAGCGAGATTACTGTTAAGAAGACTAAATAAATAAAATATTTGTCATCAACAAAACAGCATATTTCAATGAACAAACAATAAAAAAATTACGTAATCCAGATTATATTACCATGCATTCTGCACAATAGCACTAAAAAAATCCTATTAGTTAGTTAACATACATATCGTATTTTTTCATTTTAAACTAAATATTTTCATATAAATTATAATATTTTTTGCATATTATCAAAGATAGAGGAGCATCAAGAATTTTATCATTATTTGTATAATATTTTTTTTAATCAGGTAATAATGATACAGATTATTTAATAAATTAGTTAATTTAATATTTGCAATAATATTTAAAATTCTAGAAATATCAACTTACGAACTACAGGACTTACGCTCTAACTTGTTTCAAGTGATGTAGTGATAAAAAAATAATTGTCCAAACAAAAATTGATAATTTCTTTAATAAAATATAATATTTTTGGAAGATGTACTAACTGTTCTTTTGCATTTGTTTCTTTTGTCGTTTTTTATTAAATAATTGTGATGTCTCCATTGAAAAGTATTTGTAAGTAAGTATTTTGTTTATTTTAATATATTTATTCAAATTTATGTAGTCAGCCATACGGACCATAATAAAGTGTCGTATATTTCGATTTTTTTTTAATTTACCCGACTTACGAACAAACCTTTGTAACAGAGTTCAAAGTCGGGGGATACTAGTTCGTAAGTCGGGGGATACCTGTATTATGTTTTATTGATAATTAAAATAAAATTGTTATATATAAAACTCTTGTTAATAATAAAGATTATTTATTTCTCAAATTAATAAAAATTTAAGTAAATTTACTTTTTTTTATTTAGATTTAATAATGCTATTATTAATAGATTAATGTAACGTGATTAACATTGATGATTGTAAAATTTGATTAACGTTGGGAACGTGAATGATGGAATCAATAATGATGCAAGTGCATTTTACGTGTTGCAATTAAATCGAGCATACTTTACGTGACATCAGTGTCTAAATGAAGAACGGTTTATATGCACTAATAAGGACAGCAAACTAACGACCTTTTACGCTTATTATTATTAAGTTCCACCGGAATCGATTTATGCGAGTGGTGTTTTAGTTTGGAACAATTAAGTGCGCTTTAAATGTTATTGCTGCACGCAGAACCGAGACGTTTATCTTGCCGAGACTAATTAATATTAAACGCGACATTACGTAATATCGAGTCGCATACGGAATTCCGCAATTAGACAGACGTTCTGCACACGTGTAGACAAGATGCAGTCGAGGCGGCTGGCTGTAACTCAATAGGAAGTTACATCAAACGCAGCCACAATTGCCGAAACATAATCAATATGCATAATCATTTCGCTAAAGGCAATAAAATGTATAGATCCAATGTGAATTGTATTAACGAAATCGCATTTAATCAGGCGTCGCACAATAAAACCACCGACGATGTCCTGTGGAGCGTGCAATTAATTAGCGTTTCAAAATTGTGGGTTCGCAAGAAACGAAAAAAATACACTGGACACATTGTGGAATGGTTATGTATAAATCTGCATTGCGCACGTAATTATTATCGCATTAATTATAAACATGTTAATAATTTCAGGTTTTAATTGTTGCCTACGTAATTAATTATTCCATTAATTAATGCGGTCATTTTTAGGTGATGATAACATCTGCCTATATCGGAAAACTAATTAACACAATTGTATAAAAAAAAACAAGGCAACAAAAGTTAAATATATTTATATATAAATATATACAATTATATTTCCTACTTTATATTTTATATCACAATAATATTCCCAATAAAAAATCGCTTTATAACGCAAATAACTTGAAAATTCCATTTATATTTTTGTTTGAAGTTTCTACAAAGCTTTTTCTTTTAAGTAGAATGAAGGATATTTTCAGAAAAGAAAATTAGATCCTTTGTTTTATTGAGATACACAAACTTTATTAGTAGACAAAGCTTTAATTTGTTGTATCTTATTTATTGTCATAATCTAAATCTCATTTGGTTCACATATAAATACAGTCAAATCTGTTTTATTTTTGTGCTATTCATCACAAGAAGATGTGCGTTTTGGATTAACACGAGTAACATTGAATTATGTATGTTCATTTTGAAAATTTCTCCATATGTAAAATGAGAAATTAAATGTTTTTCAAATGTTTCCATGTGTAATTTAATTATTTATTTTGTTTGTATGCACTTTCTCATGTATTTCCTAAATCTTTTACGTATTTTCTAAGTGCGATCCACAAAAAAAAGTTTTTGTAATTTATGAAAATTTCGAATATTTTTTGTTTTTTTTTATGTGGTTCCTATCTACCCCACAGAAACTGGTTTTACTGTACTAATTATGTTGTATTACATAACACTAGTGAATAATTTCAAAAGTAAGTTTCCTTTAAAATGAAAACAATTGCTTTCCTGTTATATCCTTTTCTATCCTTATTGTTATTTTATACATTTTATTTATATACGTTTTGAATGATTTTGAAATTTCTAGCAGTTAATGTGATTGTAATATATAAGTTTCCAATGAGTTTTTAATAATTTCAAATAATCAGTAGTTATTATAATATAATTTCTGAATAAAATTGCAGAATTTTGTTTAATTTAATAATGTGTATAATATATGTATAAAATGTACATAAAATAAAATACTGAAATTAATTAATTTAATGTTTCATTATAAAACAGTAATATTAGTGTTATAAAGATATAATGAAAATAATTTGACTGAAAAACCAATGTTCATTAACCCTTTGTAAGAATTGATCTTTTTTTTTATATTTATTTTTGTGTATGTAAATGTTATAAAATGTATTATTAGTTTACTTCTCTACATATTAATTTTCTAATTTGCTAAAATCTAATGACGCAAAAAAAACTTTACATAATATTAAATTTACAACGATGATGAATATTTATTGATTTCAATACATTAAATTACCAATATATATTTTAATATATATTATCTATTGTAATTTTGCCTACAATATTAACAACAATTACGCGTAAACAATAGACCATTATTCTATAGATAAATCAACGACAATGATGATTACAAATTCTATCATAACAAAAAAATATTAACAAAACAAAACAGTTAAAAATAAATTATTAAAATGAAAAAGAAAATCTCAAATAACCAAATACAAATTATTACAAAAAAAAACTATTATGAGAGAGAAAATAAAGGGTTTAATTAGATATTTGCAAAATTAATATTGTTTTTATTAAAATTTAGTTTTTTTTTAAATAATACTAAAGATCTTTCGTCGTTTAATAAACGGGTCATTTTGACCCATAGGTAGTATACTTAGTACGGGTTAAATAAATTTTATAAGACTATTTTTTTTACTATATAAGAAGAAAAGTGTATGTACTCACCAAGTAGCGAGGCGAACAAAATTGCGATCCAACTTATTTCGTATTTCATATTTGTCAACCTGTAAATGAAATAAAAAAAATGCAAGGTGAGTTACGGTCAGAACGTGCATCATAAATATATGTTAGAAAGCATGTGTATATGTACATTATAAATTTATCATTGTTGAAGCTTAAATTAGTTTCCTCGAACCAATTAAACCGGGTCCGATATCCCAGATAATCCAATCAATGCGCAAACTGCAAAATTGGCAAATAGTTTAAATAATTTCCAACAAGCACGGACACAATTTCCTTAATTACATCCAAAACTCCGCCAACTGCATCCATCGAATATTCGAAATATAAATTCCACATTTCGAAACTTTCCGCGGACATTTTTATCCGGATAAAACGGACACTTGTAATCCGCACTTGCATCGATAAATAATTACTTAAATTGCGAATAACGACTGCGCTCCTTAAATGCCCTGGCCGAAACGGTAGAAGCGAACGAACTTTCCGATTTCGTTCATTAATTTGCGCGAAACTTTCGGCCCTTCATTAGTATTCTGCAACTGCTTTTAATTCGCATTCGGATCGCGCTTGGATTGCGTACAAACCAACATCAATCATCCAGGAGCAAATAATTAATTAATAAATTGTCATTTTCCAGCATTTCCAAAGCCCTCCGAGCATTCTCCGCTGCATGGAACGAACCAAATGGAAAAGAAAAGA